TGCTTCCAATAGTAATGTTTGTTCTATTATATTATTTATGATCACCATATTAAAGGGAATATGTAATTGAAAATCACGCCTAATAAGTTAATTTGACAACTGGCTTAGGTTCCTTTTTAATCTTGTCATTAATTAAAGTGATCCCAAATATTTTAGAATTATATGTTGCATTAATATTCAACCAATTTAGCATAATAATAGTTTGGAGCAAATTGAATCTTTGTTTGTATGCCTTTGAGATCGCAGGAATCACTTTTCACTATAAGAATCGAGTAGAGGCCAATACGGGCGAATGTAACTCCATGACTCACTTCGTACTATCATCCCCGATCCTCCTTTCGTGGTTCCCTACCATATGGAGTTAGTAATCTCATGAATTATGAATGGGGTGTAACCTTCACGGGTCAATCGTTGTTGCCTATTGTTGTCCCTTTATCGTGGTTGCCTTTTATGATCCGTGAACGCTTTACAAGTTCCTTAAAAACTTGTTGACGACTCTGTACTTTCCTTGTCCCTAATCGTATATGTCAATTCCCACTTCCTATGAGTGCCAAGCATATTCACAACATGCTTTAACGAGGCGCACTTCAAACGACGCTTACAGCTATAACTTGCCTTAACCGGTAATTTAACTTGTTATGACAAGTTACCATACACATGGCAGCCTAAAATTGCTAAAAAAAATAAAAATAAAAATAAAATAAAATAAATATTTTTTAAAAAACAAAATAAAAAATTAATATTCAAAAACCATCCACCACCCAAGCCAACCCTCAACCGACCAACCCCATTAACGCAGCTCTGGCCAGCCATGCGGCTCCGACCATCCAGCCTTTAAACCCAGCTCCGGCGCGCAACTCACCCCCTCCCCCTCCCCTGAACCACCAACCCTCTCCTTCACTCCTTCGCGAAAATCCAGGCGATGCGAGCCACCACAATTTCTAGCCGCGACGTCGATCACCCTTAAACCTAGCTCCGGCGCGCCGATCTCCCCCATCCCTAGATATGGTCGTGTCGATCTCTTCGCCAACCGTTTTCAGCCGCGTCAAACTCCCTAGGTTCTTGTTTGTTGGGTTTTTAAATTTTCGATGGGTTTTTTTGGGTAGACTTGGCTGGGGTCTTGTTCGGTGGCGTTGGTTCTTGGGTTGGGTGGGGTCTGGTTTCAGATCTGGTTTGGTGGCGCTGTGGCGGTGGTTCCTGGGTTGGCTGGGGTCTGTTTTCGTGGTAGTGGTGGTTTTAGGTTTGGGAGGTGGCGGGGATGGTGGTGGCTAAAACTTTGATTTTTTTTTTTGGACAAATCAAGTTGTGACATGTGTAAATTAAATTTAATAAAAAAAAAATTACCTCTTCAACCGGTTACTAGTCACTCAGGACCATTTAGAGCGGATTTGGTACAAATGTCGGATTATTTAAAAATAATTCAAAGGAGGGATTATTTTAGGCGGACGGCCCAAAGGTGGGATTATTCTGGGCAATTTTTCCATTTTGTAATCATCTTATTTTCAATCAACATTAGACCTTGTATTTAAAAGAGAGAAAGTAGCTTATTCTTAAAGTTTCTTCATTTTATTAAAGACTCGGACAAGGTTACTTCAATCCAATGCTAGAGTTTCAAGTTTCCATCTTTAATCATGTTTCACTTTAGTAATCTTTAATCCTTACTTTAAGTTTGATTTATTTGCTTTGATACTATTTATTTTCATATATCTCTTTAGTTGAACTTGTTGGATTTGTTTTTCTTTGTTTTTCATCATGTTTATTTTTGTGCTTATTGAATTCTTATTTAGTTTTGTTATGATGGTTAGTTTCTATTCCCTAGGCTAAGTTTTTAGCTAGGGGAAGGGGTTAAAAACATGTATAAATATTGATGATTGATAATGATTTGATTGAACTCATGCTATAAATTTATGAATGTATGAAAGTTGATAGCTTGAGATTACTAGTAGCACATTGTTTGATGTTCCCTAATTTAGATGCATGAGAGTGATTTAAATTAGATTAAGATCACCTTTACTTTAATGATTGCATGAAAATGAATTATTAAGTAGAGTTTTATGTATTGTGTACTCTTAATCTCTTACCTTTATTAGTTACTAAATGGATGCATGAATGTGATCTCAATTAGGCCAAGATTTAATTCATTGATTTGCTTAGACAATTGCATGAAAGTGAGTTGTTTATGTAGAATTTAGCATTCTATGGCATGTTCTTCATGATAATCATCGTTGTCCGTCTTTTTTATCGTGTTTGACACCTCTGTACCCCTAGCGTTGTTTATATTTGGTTTAATCCTTTTTATATTTCTTTCTTTATTACTTTAGTGTCCTTAATCAAAGAAAACAACAAAAATATTATGTCATTTACTCTTACATTAGTAAATTTGTTGTTTAATTAGTGTGCTTCCTTTTGGGTTTGACCCTTACGTTCCACTAAATAGTTTAGTGTAGGTCTAGATTTATAAATAATTAATTTGGTTAGGGGTAGTAGTCCCAACGACCTACTTTACCGTGATCAAATTTTAGCACCGTTGCCGGGGAAGCGACTTGTTTAGCATTTATTTTTTCTATTGTTAAAGTCATTTTATTTGCTTTTCTTTTTGTTTTGCTTGTTTTATCCTACTTGCAATTTCTAATTGTTTCCTTAGTTTTTGTGGATGCGTAGCAGATCTCAAGGTCCGCCCACACATAAAATTGACCACGAGATCAACCGAACTTTGAGAAAAGTTTGTAGGCTTTATCAAGAAGACGGAAGAGGTCTTGGTGCTATTGTTGATAGTGGGAGTGACTCTTGTTCTTCAAGTGCACAAAGTGAGAAAATGGCGGGAGAAGAGGCTGATGTTTGTTTCATGAGTTTGGACAGCCGGTAGATCATGAACTCACGGGAGGTATTTTGCTTCCCGTCAGGGAAACCATCTTTAACGTTCATCCCCAATACATAAGGATGATACAAGGGGAGCAACTTTACCAAGTGAAGATCCAATTGTGCATCTTGATAGATTCCTTGAGCTATGTGCCAGATTCAAACTAATAAATTTTTTCAGGATTACATCTGAGTGCATCTATTTCGACAATCTCTTTCGAGTACATCTAAGAAGTGGCTCAAGAAAAAGAGACCAAATTCTCTTATAACATAGAGAGAGATATTCAACAAATCCTTGAAGAGGTTCATTTCCGAAAAAAGACCGCCGAGATGAGGAGGAAAATTGCATCATTTGAATAAGAAACGGATGAGAGTCTTAGTAAAGCTTGGGAAAGGTTTAAGGAGTTTGTATAAGCATGTCCTCATTATGAATACAATCAATCTTGCTTATGCAATTCTTCTATAATGGATTGGAACCTATGTCTAGAGCTAACTTGGATGCGGGGGTTGGTAAACAATTGATTATGATCCCCCAAAACCAAGTCGAAGCAACAATCAAAGAAGTAGTGAAGAACTACTCTTGGGGTGGTAAAAGGAGGAAAGCACCGAAGAAAGGTGCGATGTATGAATTAGAGAAGGTTGATCAATTGCAACATCAAATTGAGCTTTTGACCAAGGGGCTTGCAAAGTTAAACACATGTGTTAATAGTGGGGCAAGCTCTTCTTAAGTCAATTCTTTCTAATGTCAAAGTTCTGGTGGCACAAACCACAATACATCTTAGTATGGAGACTTGAGCCCCGAACATGTAGCGGCTTATAACACATGGCAAGATGAATATAGGGAAGTGGTGGAGGAGTAGCTTGGAGACAACCACCACCCGGATTTGCACCTAAATCTCAATAAGGGGGGAAACAAGCTTAACCATCATACAATTCTAACCCTCAATATCAAAACTCACCTCCACCTCAAAACCAAAACCCAAGGGGTAACTACCCAAGAAACACAACAACCACAACCAATACAACAACCAAAATCAAGGGTCTCAAAGGAGTCAAGATCAAGCATCTCAATCTGATTTCACACGAACCTAAATTCTTAAACAACTCAAAGTCGTAAATCAGCAAAGACAAGAGGTCAAAGCTCATAACAAGATGGTTGATTCACAATTAGCTCAATTGGCCGAGAAAGTACCTTTCAACTCACCTTCTTACCCGGGCAATCACAACCTAACCCCTCTCACAACATAAAACTCGATTCTTGCAAGGCAATCACATTGAGATCGGGCACATACTATAAAGGGCCTAAAGAGTGAGATATTAAGGGAAAGAAGGGTGAAGAAGAAGGTGTAAGGGTGCAAAAGTGAGTTGAGGAAGACAAGGTTGTTGGCAAAGAAGAGAAAGTGGAAAAGAAGAAGCTTAATGATGAGAAGACAACTTCAAGTCCTAGTGAGACTAGAAATCTAGATAAGCCGGTTCCTTTTCCCGGATGTCTTATGGAGAGAAAGTTGAATGATAAATTCGTAAAATTCCTTAATGTAATGAAGAACTTACACATAAGTCTCCCTTTTATCGAGATTGTTACTTAAATGCCTTCTTACTCCAAATTTCTAAAAGACATCTTAACCATCAATAGGAAGCTCAATGATGAACTCATTACATGCCCTCATCAAGTAAGTGCACTCGTCCTACACAAGATGCCAAAGAAAGAGAAGCACTCGGGATGCTTTATTTTACCGATTAAGATCGGTAACATGGAACCTAGGGGTGCCTTGGCGGATTTAGGAGTGAGTGTTAGCTTAAGCCTACTAAATTAGCCAAAGAGACCCGTCCAAATTAGCAAAGAGACTGCCTTAGCGGTGGTCTCTAGCTAAGCGGTGTCTTTGGCTAAGAGACTGCTTCTTTAGAGGCGGTCTAAAGTTTCAAAACTTGAGACCTGTTATCTTAGAAAAGCAGTCTCTTTGGGTGGCTGAAATATTAAAATTGTAGATGCATAAAAGTCCCTTTTTGTTAGAAAAGCGGTCTCTCGTTTTAAAAATTGAGACCCGTGAACTTACAAAAGTAGTCTCTTTTATGATTTTAAGAGAGACCAGTTATGTTAAATAGGCGGTCTCTTGCTACATTCTATTTTTTTAAAAAAAAAATTATGAAAAAAAATATACAATTTCATATTTCGCTCGGAAAAAAAAACAATCTAAGGTACTACTCTATTAATCTGTAGCACATAATGCATACGAAGTATTTACATATTAGATACTTCGTAATTTATAGCATGTATTAGATAATTTATCTAGGTACTATAATCTATTAATCTGTAATCATATATAAAGAAAATTAACACTAAAAATGAACTATCTTCCACTAGCTTGTTTCATTGGAATATTTATCTTCATCATCATCTGTTAGCATCCTCGTCATCTTCAAATCATGTCTCCATTAAACATTAGCTCATAGATGATCTATAATAAGAGCAAACAATAACAAGGTTAAATTTCCACTAAACACAAGCAACAAAAATTAAAGATTTACACTAAATAAAACCTATACGAAGTTAAATAAAATTGAATTCATAATACTGACAATGTACAGATAAATAATGAAATTAAAAAGCAAAAACAGAAAAAAAAAATATCCAAAATAAAAATTCAAAAATTTTCCATTTTGTATAACCACAAATAATATAAAAAATTTACAATCGAAATAAAATAGCAAAAAAGAAACCAAAAAAAAAAAAGAAACAAGTTTAAACCTGTAAGTTCTAAAACAAAAATCATAATAGAAAATGAAAATGAAAACTATTTTTTCGAAATCAGAATAAAAACACAAAAATAAAAATTGAAGAATAAAAATCAAATAGGCAAAAGAGGGAGTATTTATCAGATCAACTCACTGAATCTGGGTGGAAGTATCATAATAAAAAAAATTAGGAGTAATATATAAGCATCAAAATTGATTTACAATTTGACACAAACTGATCTAAAAGCTTAAATCAAAACATAAAAATAATTACTAATTATAAAAGAAAAAGTAGGAGAAAAAAAAAATAACAATAGTGAACAACCTACTCATCATGTAAAACTTTGAACATTAAAACAACATACTCATCATCAAACATTAAAAAACAAAAAGTATTATAATAGAAAAGATCTGCAATTCCATATAACACAAATAACATTTCTTTTTTATAAGAATGTGTTAGTATTTTGCACCGATCTAAAATTCCATACCACAAAACATACATGCAAATCAAGATTATCACAAATATCGAACAACCTATTGTACTTGGTAACTCACAAATCAAATTAAATTTTTTACACCAGATCTAATAAACTTGAATTTTCTTGTTATCTTATAGTTTTTTGGGGTTAAAATTCAAAGATCTAACCAAAATTAACAAGCAATTGAAAGGGAAAACCCCTATTTTTTGCGCCACATCTAAGAGCAAAAAAAAAGAATATAAAAAAAAGAAATCTAAAAAGGGGGAAATTTCTCACCGATCGAGCATATATTCAAGAAATCGAAGAGATTAACTTCCGTAATTTTGTTCACTTTCTTTCGCCATTCCTCTTTCCTTTTATTTGTTTATGGATGCTCGATCTGAATCATTGCTATTTGGCTCCAAGGAGATGGTTAGGGTTTTAAGGAGTAGAGAGAAAAAGAGATAAGAAGGGAATGGAGCAGACTAGGTAAGAGTGAGGAGGAGAGAAGAGATAAAAAGAGAAAAAGTGATGAGTGGGGCGTACGTGTAAGTGGAAAGCTCGAAAACAAGAGACCCGCCTTTAATGTTAACCGATCTCTCTAGCAAAAATAAAAGACCAGTTAATTGAATAAGCGGTCTCTAGTTTAATTTTAAAAAATTATTTTTTGAAAAAAAAATGCAAGAGACCCGTCATCTTAAATAACAGGTCTCTCGAAAGTTTTCACCCATCCAACAAATGAAGTTAGAGACCCGTTATTAGTAATAAATGGTCTCTTGGGCATTTTTGTAGTAGTGTTAATTCCCCTCTCCATTGCATAAATATTCAATATTGAAATAATTCCCACAATAAATACAATTCAACTAGCGGACCGCTTGGTCAAACTTCCTTGTGGTTAACTTAAGGATGTTCCTATTCAAGTTGGGTATATATATGCCATGTGATTTTGTAGTGATGGATATGGAGAACAAAGTTGATACTCCTTTGATCTTGGGTCGTGAAGCTCTTAAAACCTTGGGGGCGATCATTAATTGCCAGAACAATACTATTACATGTGAGGTGGCCGATGAAAAGATTGTCTTTGAGTTCTCCAATTTACTCAAGACCCCCATGGTTGAGAAATGCTATCGAGTTTATGTAGTGAATGAGGAGTTAGATCGCTTGGGAAGGGTAATGATGAAGCCTCAAGATCCAATGATTGAAGCTCTTACATGCAAGGAAGAGTTCCACTCTTAAGAGGCACGAGAGTTTGTCATGGATATGGAAGAAACCTCAAAGGAGGAAAAGGTTGAGCAACAAGAGGAGATCGAGCTTGAGCATAAATAGGAGACATTTGAGGAGAGTTTTAAGCATCCTCCCAAGGTTAAAATCAAGCCCATTTCCCCTTCTTTGATATATGCATATCTTGATGCTGAGGGAAAATACCATATTATTGTAAATGTTACCCCTAATGAACTTAATTTTGAAAATTTGCTTGATGTTTTGAGAAAATATAAAGATGTGATAAGGTAAAGCATTGATCATATCAAGGGTATTACTCCTTCTTTGTGCATTCTTTGTATTCAACTTGAAGATGCTCAATCCACCTCTATTGAACCTCAAAGGAGGTTGAACCCTAACCTCCAAGAGGTTGAACCCTAACCTCCTAGAGGTTGTCAAGAAAGATTTTTAAAACTACGTGAAGTGGACATGATTTATGCTGTCTCCGATAGAGTGTGGGTTAGCTCATTTCATGTAGTTCCAAAAAAGGGTGGGATGACCATCATCAAAAATGAAGGAGGAGAGTAAATCTCCACCCGAACGGTGATTGGGTGGAGGATGTGTATTGACTATAGGAGATTAAACAAAAATATAAAGAGGGACCATTTTCCTCTCCCATTCATGGACCAAATCATGGAAAGATTTTCTCACATGCTTTCTTTTGTTTCGTAGATGGGTACTCAAAATTTTTCCAAATCCCTATCCATCCAAGTGACCATGAGAAAACTACTTTCACATGTCCATATGGAACATTTGCATACCAAAAGATGCCATTCGGTTTTTCCAATGCTCCTTCAACTTTCCAACGATGCATGACTTCTGTGTTTCTTCGAAATGCTTGAAATAGAGATTGAAATATTCATGGATGATTTTAATGTTGGTGGCTTGTCTTTTGACGTTTGTCTTTACAATCCTGAAAATGTTTTGAAAATGTTTCAAGGGACGAGTTTGGTTTGGAATTGGGAATAATTCCACTTTATAGTTGAGGAGGGTATTTTCCTTGGCCGTAAAGTTTCAAAGAATGGCATTGAAGTTGTTCCAGCCAAAGTTTCAGTGATTACAAAGTTGCCCCCTCCTACTTCCATCACAGGAGTAAGAGCTTTCCTTGGGCAAGCCGGTTTTTACCGGAGATTCGTTAAAGATTTTTCATCAATCACCAAACCTTTGACCGAATTACTCAAAGGGATGTTGTCTTTAGCTTTAATGAAGCTTTCATTGAGGCGTTTCATTAGCTTACGGAATGAAAGGAATGGTGTCCTTCGAACAAGTGTATTATTTAGATAAAGGGTTAGAAATTATTAGAAAGCTAATTATTCAGTGAGGTTAAGTGATTGGAATGCTTTGGTGGAGGCCGCTTCCGATCAGCAATATTAATGTATAATTAATATTATGCGTAATCTTGACTGATCCCTTAAGGTCACACCCAAGCAACTAACGAACCGAAGCGACGAATTAATTCGGAAGATTAATGAGTCGCTCGAGTAATTAATATTTAGACGTCGGAAATTCGAGCTTGGAGCGTCAAAACTGAGCGTCGGAAGTGCAGTCAAAAATGATGAAAGAAAAGATGAGAAAATTACTAATAAATCAACATAATGACTAAAATACCCCTTGTATCGGAGAGCCGAGTGCTAGGGACATGGAAAAGCTAGCAGCCCGCACATGGTGTGCGGCTTGCTAGCAGCAACCCGCACGCATGGTGTTAGGCCTTCTGGACGAGAGAGGTAGTAGAAGTCGTGGCTGGCCACCTTGGGTGCCTTGGTGCCCAAGTGTGGGGCTGCTACGTAATAGAAATTAATTGGAGGGTAAGGGTGTGTGTTGGCCGGTTTTAGGAGAGGGAGTGGGGAGCAAGTTTAGTCCCCCCTTCTACAAATGGTCCTCACCTAACCTCTCATGTGAGCTTTCCACTTGTTGATAAATAAGTAGCTTGATTATTAAATTTATTTTTGATTTAAAATAAAATAGAAAAATTAAATTTCCCACATTGATGGGTGAGCTTTTCTCAATCTTGCATTTCCCTATAAATACCCTACTTGGGGTATTGGGAAAAGCACTTCTGTAAGTGTTGAAAAAGGAATCGCCATGGTGAAAACCTTTGAACACAATTAATTACTCGGGTTTAGGTCAGGCTTGGCTAACTCCCAAGCAATAGACCAATTTCAGTGCTCGCGTTGTGGGTGGACTTTGTTGGAGGTCTTCGTGTGAGCGGGGCTAAGAGTTTTAGAAGTAAGAGCTCAATTAAGTGAGCAAAGCACGCTACAAAGGTATGAATCTCTTACTTAGTCTTGTGTATTTATTAAATATGCTTTATGGATATAATTATTGTGAGTTTAATTTTGGATCGAGTTTCTTTCCGCGATGGGTCGGACTCACCGAAACCCAACAGTGGTATCAAAGCCATGCTAATTTATTTTTATAATCATCTTTTGCAAGGTGTTTTTATGGCTTAATTTTTCTTGTTTATATTGCCAATTAGATTAGTAGCTCAGTTTTATTAATTTTAAACCCGTATTAAACTTGATTTTAGCTCGAACCCAGATTTCTTCAAAAAAATAGTGAATTTTTGCTAGAAAAGGCATTCTGGAAACGGTTTTACCATTTCAAACTAGTGTTTTTAGCCTAAAAAAAACGACCAGAAATGCACTTTTCGAGGGATTTTCTATTTTGACGTAAAATTTTTAGTCTTTCTAACCTTGAAATTTTATTTCATATATAGGGTGGTTTTGTATTTGGTTTTTTCCTTAATTTATATGCAATTTTAAACCTCTTTAAGCATGGTTACTTCGTAGTAATTGGTGCTTGAAAGTTTGGTTTTTCTATTCTTCACATAATTGCAAATTAATTGCATTAACTGTGAAAAGTTTGTTCTTTGTTGCTTCTAAGTACTAAAGATTCAATATTTAATTGTTTTAAGTTATTGAAACTTTGAGTTACTGAATTCCATGAATTTTTGTTGAACTATTTATTTAATCATGTATGAAGTTGATTGGAATCATAAAGTTTAAATCTTGTGATAGAAATTTCATTTATCTTAATATTGGAATATATAATTTTTATATCGAACTTTGTGTTCACATTTCCAACTCCCTTTTATTTTGTCAAAATCTCATGATTAATTTAAATTAATTAAATTTTACAGTGAGTTTCACTAGTAGAAAAAGGGTTTTTTACGACGAAAATATTTGTCGTAGCAAGGCTCAATAATCGTCATTAAAATCTTTGACGACAATAGTTATTTCGTCGTGCTTTTGTCGTAATAGGTTCCGACGTTATTGTTTTAACGACGACGTTCGTCGTTAAATTTATACGACAAAATTATTAGTTTGTCGTTACTTAATTACGACAATATGAATTTTTGTCGTTAATTTTAGATTTAATAGCGTCGAACTATTACAAACTAACGACCAACAATTTTATAGTTAAATTTTTTTCTAATGGTAACGAAATTTTGAATTAATATCCAATAACAACAAAATATTTCGTCGTTAATATAAATCGTATTAAATTATTCAAATATTTTTTGCTTTATCCCACCTGTTCTCATCTGCTAGATACTTATTATGGTAATAAGGAAAAAAACACAATAAACATAATTGTACCAAAACAGGAAAATGCAACCAAAATATTCATAACATAATATTAAATTAGATTTAATGTATTTTAAACCAAATACCATCAAATATAACAAGAAAAAATAGTATGTTTTAAACAAGGAATATCTAAAAAGAATTTTGTTATCTTAAACTTGAAACAAAAATAAAAATAAAATTAAAAACATTATTGGAGATCCTAGATCTTCAATGATATATTGCAACTACTCAACATGTGCCAGATTAAGCTAATCCATCTTGTGAAGGTATAGTGACATTAAGCTGTGTCACTAACATTTCCTTAAAATAATTTCATTCTAGACTCAACTGATCCAATGCGACCTTTTAATTCATTGTTTTCCTCTTGTACTTGCTCAACGCGGTTTATAAGAACTTGGTTTGTTTTTTAGAGGCATTCAATTCAACTTGAAGTTCTTCTCTACTTGGTTGTGAGCTTTATTCCTCCTCCATAGCCTATTACTCGATCTCGAGACTTGGATTTAAATACCTTTTGTGCTACCTGCACATGTGATATAGATTTTATAATCATTAAAAGCTTAAAATATACATTAATATGAAAATATATGTTAAGAGAACAAAAATTTATGTACTTATCATATTATATGCTACACAATTAGTTATGACTTACATCAAAAATATATTCCTATTAATATACATAGATTTCCATCTTGGGTTTTATGAGTTACATCGTGATTCATAAGGGTTATCGTTGTTTAGATATTACCACTAATAAAATCATCATCTCTAGAAATGTAACATTCGATGAAAACACTCTTCCATATCGAAATATTAGTCACTTCCGTGCCACCGATTTTGATTTTCTTAGTGTCGATGACCCATCCCCCATTTTAAATCATTTTTTGGCCACTAACCGTGCAAAACAGCCTACACTGCAGGCAGGCCGCAACACACAGTTGCACACCGCAGGCAGCCTGCGGAGTAGCCTGCCAGACCACCTAGCCCAGCCCAAAAGCCCACAAGCAGGCCGCGGCACACAACCGCACACCGCAGACAGCCTGCAGACTGGTCTGCAAGGCCACACAGACCAGCAGCAGCGCACAGCCAGCCCTCCAAACTCCCCTAATGCTGCTGCTAGCCCACACATGCCTTCCCCCTCCTCGCCCTCTAGATTAAAAAGAAACAAAGAAGCAAGTTTCTAATCCAAACATTACAAAAACAAGGTAATTAAGGGGTATACACTACCAAGTACATTAGAAGAGTCAAGGTTTAAGATAAATATTGTCTTAACTCTCTACATTTTTTGATGTGTTGAAGGAAAAAAAAAAGGTTTATATCATTCATGCAGTATCAGTTATTTATATAAAAGAAGTCTCTAGCAAAAAAAATGATTACGCCATTGATTGAAATTGAAAATTATAACACAATGATAAAAAAAAAAAATAGTACAAGCAAAGTTACCTCAGCGTGGGAAAGAGATGGATCTTTTTCCATTGTTTCTCGAATTTCATTCTAAAACAAAACATCAAAAAAATTTTACTTGTTTACACTGCGTAATAACAATAAGCAATTAATGGACATACCAATTTTTGTGTGGTCTCGACATTTGGAAGTTCAGTGCCTTTCTTTCGGGTCGAATAGAACACATCAACTAAAGTTGGCTGATTTTCCTTATTTGCCCCCTTTTTAAGAAAGAAAATCATTATTTTGTCATTAATTTGATTAATATATAACTTATCAAAGCTATAATATAATCAAGTAATATAAACAATAATTCTCACCAAACCATCCCATATGACTTGTCTAAATGGCTTACTTCGAGTTCGAGGCATTAACTCTTTAGCATAGTAGCCCCTATTTTCAGTGTTTCTTGCACTTCTTTTCTGGAATTTTTTATCAATAAATATCTCTTCATTTAAAAATACTAATTAAATGGAAGTAGAAAGCAATTTCTAGTTGTTTCAAGTCACCCTAAAATCATCCTTCATATATATCTCCTTGATAAGCCATTTCCACTCATTCATGTCAAGCCCATTAGGTGGCTTACCCTTGTATGTAGCTGCTAAGATGATTTTCTTCTTAGTGACATTATACCATAATAAATCTGACCTCCATTTTTGCCATAGCTCCTTCATATGCTCGAGAATATGATCTTTGTAAGTTTCCATATTTTCATTAGCAAATACATCCTACAAAAATAGATATAACATCATCACTTGTAAACATTGAATAACCTACAATTATTTTACATGAATATTATTAAGTTAAAAAATAAAAGAGAATAATTTAGAAAAGCGAAAAGAGCTTATAAAGTTACTGAAGCAGGGGATTAAAAGTGCAAAGAAAACTCATGAAAATGTTAGAACAATTAATACGATTACTGTAACTGCTGCCCACATGTGTTCCTTTTCTCTTTCTCCAATATCATTCCATTTGTGCACTCTCACTGGACATATGTTAGTATTTCGTATTATAATTCCCAAATGTCTTGCAAATACTTTGTGATTCTTTCCCACTGCTCGATTGTTAAAGAACTCAATCTGTAGCTTCTCATAAGGTTTCAGTTTAGCTATCACCTTACATTTTTTTCTTCCCCTTGATGTACACGTTCTATACCATATTTTACCCTGATTTTATAGCTATTTTTGTATGGTTTTTAAGCTCTACGGAGCTACTTCTCGCTGATATTCTCTTCTCTAGTGTGGCTTGGTCTATTTAATTGATTTTGTAGGCACACGAAGATTTTTCGGATGATTTGGACTAGTTTTGGATAGCCATAAGAGCTTATCAAGATGGAGGAGAATCTTACCCGTGTCCGCCCTGGAGGGCAACATTGCCATAGCAACCGGGGCGAAGAAGGAAATAAGAGAAGTCAAGAATGAGAAAGTATGAAGAGTTCAATTTCTGTCCGCCCGGACCGGGCAGCATTGCTTGGGCAGCCCGAGAAGACGACGTACTACACGAGGAGGCTACTTGAAGAAGCATTTGGGCGTGTTTTTCTGTCGCGCCCGACTGAGCACCCTTGCCCGGTCAGGCCGAGCAGAGTGTCGAAGACCGTGTTTTCCTATTTTTTGGGGTTTTCTTAATTAAAGGATATAAATACCCTTTGTAAAGCCCTTCTAAAACATACTTAGTTATTATTTTTCTAGCTTTTAAACTCTCAATAGAACCCTAATATTCTCTCTAGATCTAGATTAAAATTGCACTTTCAAGTTTTGAACTTTATTCATCAACAATTGGTACTTTTCTTCATTTAAGTATTTGGTATTCATCTTTATTTCTTATTTTGCTTTTACTTATTAATCAAGTTTTCTTCATTGATTATTGTTTTTGCTTTCATTAGTGTGAGTAGTTTCCTTATTCCCAGATCTAGCGGATCTCGAATGTAATTGATGCATGAATTACTTCTTTAAATTCTCTAATAATAATTGTAATTGATATGCTTAATTTATTATGCTTATGCCAATACTAGATTAGGTATAATTGGTACTGTTAATAATCCTTTGTTTTAATCGCAACGGGAATTGGGTTTTGACGGATTTGAAAAAATCAATTAAGGGTTTGAAGTTCATCACAGGACTAGTTGAATGGATGATTAGGAAGTTAGAGTAATGTGCTTAAGGTCTTTAATTTACATGATTCCACGGAATTAGGCTTGATTGTTATTAGAGAAGCCATTAATAACTCGGGAGAGACCATTGGTATTATTCATGGATTACTTTTCCTCTTTAATCAATTGAATTATGTGTTAGGGGTAGAACGACTATTGCATTAATTGTATTCGTGGTGAAACTTGATCTTGGATGTTTTTAGCATTGAATTGTCATATTGTTTAGATTTAATCGTTTTAATTAGTTCTTTAGTTATTGATTCTCACTCATTTTATTTGGTTACTTGTTTAGTAATTGCTTGAGTCTATTTGATTAGTTGAACCATAGTACCTTGGGATCCGACCCTCGCTTGCCCGTCTACATAGAAGTGATCTAGTTAGGTTTATTTTTGTTATGTATGCGACACGCCTATAATATTTAGGCGCCGTTGCCGGGGACTAACGGTTTCATTCTAGTTATTTGTGATTCGTTTTACTAATCATATATTTTGTTGCTTCGGCTATTGTTCCTTGTGTCTTTGATTTCCCGTTTTAGTTTCTTTGTTGCATGCAAACTCAAAGTTCAGACTTAGATGATTTAACACCTTTTGATTCAGAGATCGAAGCTACTGCAAGAAGACGAAGAGGTAGAAGGAGACATTTAACTATAACACTAGTAGAAAAATATAAAAGGGCACCGGTTAAAAACCCCCCTCTAGTACCGGTTTTGAACCGGTGTTAATGTGAGGGATACCAAAAAGTGAGAGCTTTTGGCACCGGTTCGGTTCAGAACCGGTGCCCTTAATGCCCCAAAAAAAAAATTATTTTATTTTTTTTATTTTTTTTTGCATTTTTTTTACTTAAATTGATATATAAACACATACATATATATAACTTATAACTTCATTGAAAAATAAAGCTGTAACATTACAATTTTAATTCAAAAAAAAAAAAAAAAAACAAAACATAGTTTTACATTGTAAACAGACTGATTGTAATAATATTACAACAGTAGCGTAGAGCAGATTAGCAGCAGTGGCGTAGAGCGTAGTAGCAGCATCAGCGTAGACCAGAACATCAGCAGGAGCATGGAAGCATGCAGCATCAGCCTTGTGATGTAAGGCAGCCGCCTTGCGTGGCAGCAGCTGCAGCAGCCGCTGCAGTGGTTGCACAGACAGAGAATAAGGCATACCCTTGTTTTGAACAAGACATAAGGTATCCCTTTTTCAAGACTTGTGTGTCGGTCCACAATCACCCGAACAGCCTCAACAAATGCTAGATTGAAGTTGTTTGGTGTTGCAAAAGAACTGATAAAATTCCTCATCCTGTTTTAAAAGCAGCCAATGATCATTTAATTAGTAATTTAATTAGGGCAGTAGGTACAAGCCAATAAAATTAACAGCTAAAGCTAGCAAGACGACATAAACACAAGTGTATGACTCTACAGACTCGCTATAGCCGGGTCAACAGCACGTGAGCGCCTACTTCTCACAAGTATCACATGTTAAAATCTAAGACTACTTGAAGTGGCAGGCTTCATAACAGAGCAGTTCCAGGTGTTAAATAAATAGATTGACTCACAATTAGATACAAAATTCATAGCATATTATTACTCGTACCACAAACTTTCTCCTTGCTAAGAATATACAGCGGTCATTTTTATATTTGAAATGCATTAACACATTCACAAGAATTAAGAAGCACCAGAGATTATAAAGTAAAAGGCATGCATTAATACTAAATGAAGCTGTAATTTTCATTCAAAGCTAAGAAACACAGATGATTAAATTCAAAAAAGACAAAAAAATAAAAACAAAATAGAAAATGATATAAATATCAAGCTCATATAGTCATATCCATATTACCAAGTTGTTATAAAAAAAGGGTTGTTTCCAACTCAAATTATGCTACCTAAAAACCTTAATCAATGAATCCATATCCCTCAAACGTTAAGGTCAATTGAATATTTGGTATTAGATGTTAAGATTAAATTATTAAATTAGAGTTGAAAGCATTCTATAAAAAAAAAAGGTGAACATAATTTCTAACATGTTATAGAGACCCTAAATATTAAATTAGCCTTACAAAGAATCACTAACAATGAGTAATGTGTTATTAATGAAATAATCATGCATTCAAATGTCGAAGACTCTTTGAAAAAAAAAAGGAATAAAAACAGAATATTAGAATATGTAATCCATAATTCCATATAATATGAATATGAATAATATAAAAAGAACAGGAGAAAGAGAAAGAGAATGACCGCTCCAACATGATGAGTAGAATGTGAAGCGCTGGCAGTCTCTTCAATCCCAGACCATGCTCCAGAATCAATCTCTAGAAACCTTGAGGATGCAAAAGAAATTGACAAATTAACCAAACAAATGTAGTAGATTATGATAAACCATATTTGTCAATTTTTTTTCTCCAGATAATTCACTAATACTAACTATTTATCACCCTACAAATGGCTACAATCCTGCCTAAATTAGTAATTTCCCCTTATTTCTTAAGAAGACCTTTCCCTTATAGAAGGTTCCCGGATAAGCATCTCTTGGGCAAGCTTTCTGGAGTTGCTTTGCATATCCTTGATTAAGTGTAGGATCAATGCTGTTTTGACTATTGTAGTTGTACATTCTCTTGGAGAACTGGCTGCACTGTGAGAACCCCATTGTATGTGTTCCTTTATAACATTAGGGAAAAAAAAACATAAGCCAATTTACATTAGACTCCATAAGAGAAGATGGAATGGGGACAATATGACAATGATCATGAAGATCGGAGTGGGGAGGGCGAGGGGGTGGAGGAAAAAATCCTAGTTACCCGACCTAAATCCAATTTGTTCCAGAAATTACATGACTTGATTTGATCCAAACAGAATACACTAACACGAATAGAACATTCATTTGTTCATTATATCAAACTAATTGACGGTATAACCCAACATACCTACAAGTAAATCAAATTACTCGTAACCAACTGAATATATCCAAACTGTACTAATTAGAACTAAACTCAACCTAAACCAACAGATTTGATACATCTATGACAGATGGTTTTAAAATATAAACAAAACTCAAAGATAAATCACCAAATGACACATAGTATAAGTGGTTTAATACCTATAGAATAAAACAACATTACTAAAAAGAATAAGTATTACATGATTTTGAACTGTAACATTAGTAACTGTATAAACATGTCAGCTACTATAGAAGTATAAAATAATAAGAGGAATGAAATGAAATTACTGTAACTTTTTAATGAAGTCTTATAATTTATAGAGTTGTACTTGATAAAGCTAATTAGTTTCCATAAGAAATAAGGGGAATAATATTTACATCTACAACTTTGTAAGACAGTGATGTAAAATTATGATGATTGTAAGGAGCAGAGTGAACCTGATAAAGCAATCAAGTCAACTTCAGAGAGGCCATGAGAAGCAAACATGTTTCTGCGTTGCCTATAGTTGAAGGCTGAACCTGGAAGCCACAGGCAAAGAGCAAAGTGCTATCGCGGCCTTTTATCATGCCGTCAGTGAAGCTATTTCTGTGCAGGATCAAAGACTGTTATCTTGGATGCAAGGAGATCCTGTAGGACTAGCAGAAGCCAGGAACATCATCCAGAAGATCAAAATTTAGCAATTATAATTAAAACTTTTGAGAAAAAAAAAAACACCTACGGAACATCAGGACATTGAAAACCGCTTTTGGCGAGGTAATTCACAAAGTTTCTTAATACAAGTTCACAAAATCCAGTATAACAAAACACATAGACTACCTCACCTCTTATCATCAGATTGCCTAATTTCGAAATAGATGAGCAAGATCATAATCAAAACCCCAATATAACTTTGTTCATTAAAACCCTAAATTTTCGATTAAAACAGAAAACACATGCAATTAAACAAAATCAAACACTATAAATCAAACGAAGTCTAAGATCTGAATTAGGAATTAAATCAAAACACTATAAATCAAACAAAATCTAAGATCTGAACTGGAAATTATGCAAAAGAACCCTAAATTTGGAATTTAAATGGGAAAGTTTAAAGAAGCGCATACCACGAACACCAATCTGAACCCTAGAAATCAGACTCGACCGTCACCATCACCGACCACCGTCATTGTGCTTGGTTATACTGACCACTGACCACTGACCACCGACCACCGACCACCGCCATTGTGCTTGGTTCTACGCTTCAATGGAGAGAGAAGGGAGTTCGAGGGAGAAGAAGAGACGGAGCTTCAATGGAGCTTGCAGATCGACGGAGCTTCAATGGAGCTTGCAGATCTAATCTTGTGGACGGAGCTTCAATGGAGCTTCAGGGTTTGGTAAAGGAGAGAGAGAGGAGGAGCGACATATGAGGAGAGAGAGTGAAAATAAAAAAAAGAAAGGGAAAGAGATTAAGAGAATGAATAGGGGAAGGGGAAAAAACGGCCGAGTTTTCTTTGTGGCCTTAAGGTATTTGGCACTGGTTTATTTTGAACCAGTGCTAAATCATAAACTAAATTCTGCCTTGTTTTTTTCCCACCGGTTTTGAAGAACCGGTGCCAATTTCTCGGTGCCCTTTTATATTTTTCTACTAGTGTAAGAAACATGATCGACCTAGGAACAAAATCTCTTTTGGAGTATGGTATTCCAGATACAAAAACCGGATTTCTCTCCAGTATTGTAAGACCACCTGTCACTGCTCAAAGTTTTGAGTTGAAGCCCTAATTCATATAGTTCATCTCCAATGATGCTTTTGCGGGCTCATCAAATGATTGCCCCGTGACTCACATTGATAGTTTCTTGGAGAAGTGTGACACTATGAAGCTCAACGGTGTCACTAATGATTCTATTAGACTACGCCTTTTCCCTTTTACACTAAGGAATAGGGCAAGGGAGTGGCTACGAGATGAAGGTATTGGTTCCTTTGATACGTGGGACAAGCTTGCTAAGGCCTTCCTAATAAAATTCTTGGGGCAAGAGAAAACCGCAAAATTAAGGAACGAGCTATCTACCTTCCATCAATCTAATGACGAATCCCTATATGAGGCATGGAGAAGGTTTAAGCGATTGCAGAGGCAATGCCCTCACCATGGTATTCCAGAATGGATGTTGATCTAAACATTCTATAATGGTTTGAACCATGAGTTTAGCATATACATTAATGCTGCGTCTGGAGGTTATATCATGACAAAGAATCCAACCGTGCGAAGGATTTGATTGAGAAGATGGTGGCTAATGATAATTACCATCCAAGGGGACGAAATTCTATCAACACGGGTAATAAACATGATTTTGATGCCCTAACCATGTTGACTAGTTCTGTGCAGGCACTAACTCATAAAGTCAATCAATTCCAAGCCGAGTCCCCTCGACCCTCGATGGAAACTTGTCAGATGTGTGGATTGCAAGGCCATACTGCGTGGGAGTGTCAACCCAATTATGATGGAATTAAGATTGAGCAAGCTAATTCTTCCTATACCACGACCTCCACAAGGCCATTTGATGAAGGGTGGAGAAATTATGAAGGGTTCTCATACAAGAACACTCAACTTATAGCAAATCCTCCACCACCACCAGCTTTTCAAGCAAGGGAACCTTTCAATCATCATCCCATGCACCAACCACCACCTCAATCTTCAAATCTTGAATCCATTATAGAGACTTTTGCTACCTCCCAACACCAACAATAAGAGCTTATATCAAAGCAATTTGAGTTACAAGCAAAGCAGAATGAATATTTTGAAAACTCGATCCAACTGCTCGTTGCTCAAAATAAGAGGATAGAAACCCATCTTTCTCAACTATTACAACAAGTGAGTCATCTATCAACTCTTCAAGATCAAGCAAAAGTCCAAACGAAACAATGCAATGCAATTTTCGTGAAGAGAGATGGATTGACTACGGGGGGATTAGAGGAAAAAGTGTGCAATCTGGAGTCGAAAACTAAAATACGCGAGAATGAAGGTCCCAAATATATTTCTCCACAAGCCTATGAGGAACCGATGCCTTTCCCGCAAAGGTTATCAAAAGCTGTGCTCGATAAGCATTTTGGGAAATATTCTGAGAATCTTAAGACGGTATATGCTACCATTCCTTTTTTAGATCTTATGATTGAAATGCCTCAATTTTCAAAATTTGTGAAAGGAATTCTAGATCATAATCATAATAATAAGTAATTAGAAAATTTGGTAGTGAAGAAGCATAGCTCTGATATTTTACATGAGAACCTACCACCTAAATTGCATGATCCTAGTAATTTTACTATTCCTTGCAAGATAAACGAAACAACTTTTGATAGGGTCTTTTGTCATTTAGGTGCTAGTTTTAATTTAATGCCTTCTTCTTTATATGAAAAATTAGGTTTGAAAAAACTTAAACCCTCCCCCATATCTCTTCAAATGGCTGATAGAGTTATTCGACTCCCTAAGGGTGTAGTTGAAGATGTATTAGTTGGGATTAGTGAATTGTTTTTCTAGTTGACTTTGTTGTAGTAGATATGAAAGAAGACCTTAAGATCCCACTAATCTTTGGTCGTCCTTTTCTCGCTACAAGTAAGCTTTAATAGATGTTCCTAAAGGACAAGTGACCATTAGAGCTCAGGATAAACAAGTTGTGTTTAAGCTTTTCATTGACCATAATTTTACTTTTGATGGTGGTACTTATTTCAGAATCGATGCTACTAACCTTTTTGTTGATAAGTGTATTTCTAATAGAAATCTTGTGAGTAAAAAGGACAATATTCCACAACATGATGGGTTCAGTTACATGAAGGTCAATTCGGATACAAAGCACATCAACTCTAATTTGAAGGAGTCCTTTGGAGGTGGATATATTGATGAGCAATACCATAGGGTATCTTCTGTGTGTGGTGACCCAGGTTGAGTTACTAAAGAGAAGTCAAGCTAAAGACCTTAAACAAGCGCTAAATGGGAGGCAACCCATTCCGTTTATTACTTCTTTTATTTTCCCTTTATTTATTTATTTATTTTTCTTTTTTTTTAGTGTCTTGGGGTTATGATGCGACGTTATTTTGAGGGCGGTCCCAGCTTCGCCCTTAGGTATGATCCCTCCTTTGCCAGTAGGGCCTATTTTTCTTTTTCCCTTGCTCGTTCTTATTCAATATATGTTCACATTGAGGACAATGTGAAGTTTATCTTGGGGGAGGGATTACTTTTGGCTTTGGGCAGTTACTTTGTGAATCATGACGATGAATAGCTAGTAAACTAATTCTTTGTGCACCTATCTTTGATTAATTAAAGGTTTTTGGCTTTATTTTGATTGATAGACTTGCAATGAGGATTAAATGATCATGATCTGATTTTGGATTGTCTTGGCCTAATGGAAATCAACTTTGTGCAACTGTGTATGAATCTAAAGCTTGACTGTGTTAACTGTGAGGCTTGAGCCTTAATTATTTATTCATGTGTGTTAGTTCCTGGTGTGAAATTGATCTTAGTTTTGTCTTGAGACTTTTAGTAATGTGTCATGGTACATTGCACGTGCAGGATGAGGAGGACGAAGGCCATGTTCATTAGGTAGCCTCTAGATGAATTTAGAAACGTCTGTCCCCTCCTTGCTTACCCATGTTGTAGCCTATTCCATGTTCTTCATCTAAGTCACAAAATTCACCTATCGGCCCCAATTAGTAACTTATCCCAAGTCTAGCTTGGGGGAGCCATTTATCTTGGTGTTCTCTTATGGTTTTTGATGATGTTTTGGAGAAGATTAATCTGAAGCTTGAAGGTTTTTGAATTTTTGCTATATGATCTATTTTTGAAGCTCTTATAGTGTGTTATTATCAATAAAAAAAAAGAAGAAAAGAAAAGTAAAAAATTAAGAAAAAAAAGAAAAAAAATTCAGCTTCTTGATGAATAAATAAAAGAGCTTCAAAAATGTAGGGTGAATAAGGTGGTAGTTTCTCTTAATTCAGGTTATGTTTGGAGTGTCTATTATTGTGAATTAGGTCGAAGGGATTTTGATGTGTATTGTTCATTTTTGATGGCTTCCCTGAGGGACTATATTTGCCTACATTTTCCAATTTTTTCCTACCCATTTTCACCCGGCCTACATTACAAGCTTTAAAAAAGACCTTCTGACCTTCGTGCATAGTATTAGGTTCATGTGAAACGTGTCTTTTATCAAAATGCTGGAGTATTTGTCACATTTTGAGTCGACTTTTGACTAGGTTTAGCGGCATCATCACCCTTTAAATACGCGAGTGTTGTGAGATAAGGGGGGTTATCATCATTAGTGGGGATGGAGAGAGATCGGGCTCATTCTTAGCTCGCCACATAAAATTGTGCGGAGTGACCACTAAGTGAGATATTCTAGTCATCGATTCAATATGTGCGCATGGTTGACTCTATTTGATGGCCATTTAGGTTGATTGATAGTTTGAATGAGGTGATTGGTTGGCTAAGATGCCAGTGTGTCCGATTTCGTATTTTCAAATGTATTATGGGGTGAAGTATGTTTATTTGGTTGTCGATAGTCATTGATTGTCTTGCTTGAGGGCAAGCAAGAAGTTAGCTTGGGGGAATTTGATGTACACGTTCTATACCATATTTTACCCTCATTTTATAGCTATTTTTGTATGGTTTTTAAGCTCTACGGAGCTACTTCTCGCTAATATTCTCTTCTCTAGTGTGGCTTGGTCTATTTAATTGATTTTGTAGGCACATGAAGATTTTAGGATGATTTGGACTTGTTTTGGATAGCCATAATAGCTAATCAAGATGGAGGAGAATTTTACCCGTGTCTGCCCTGGAGGGTAACATTGCCCTGGCAGCCAGGGGTAAGAAGGAAATAAGAGAAGTCACGAGAGAGAAAGTATGAAGAGTTCTATTTCTGTCCGCCCAGACCTGACAGCAATGCCCGGGCAGACGAGGTACTACACGAGGAGGCTACATGAAGAAGCACTAGGGCGAGTTTGTCTGCTGCGCCCGACCGGGCGGGCAGCCTTGCCCAGTCAGACTTGGCAGAGTGTTGAAGATCGCGTTTTCCTATTTTTTCGGGTTTTCTTAATTAAAGGATATAAATACCCTTTGTAAAGCCCGACTAAAACATACTTAGTTATTATTTTTCTAGCTTTTAAACTCTCATTAGAACCCTAATATTCTCTCTACATATAGATTAAAATTGCACTTTCAAGTTTTGATCGTTGTTCATCAACAATTGGTACTTTTCTTCATTCAAGTATTTGGTACTCATCTTTATTTATTCTTTTGCTTTTAATTACTTATTAATCATGTTTTCTTCATTGATTATTGTTTTTGCTTTCATTAATATGTATGAGTAGTTTCCTTATTCCCAGATCTAGCAGAACCCGAGTATAATTGATGCATGAGTTACTTCTTCAAATTCTCTAATAATAAATGTAATTGATATGCTTAATTGTTTATGCTTATGCCAATACTAGATTAGGGATAATTAGTAT